CCCGGGGCGCATGGTCCCCCGCGGGCCCGCCGCTGCCCCAAGGCTTTGCCTTGCTTCAGCAAGGCGCTGCAGCCTCCGGGTGGAAAGCGACTTTCGATATATTTTCTAAAATACCTTTCCTCCCCGATTGTCACATAGCACTAAATTGGCCTTCCGGAACAAAATGCGGCAAAGACATTTCGTACCAATTCCAGCGCTATCCACTCCAATTTTCGTTTTCTGTGAATCGTGGCTCCCTGGAATTTCTTCCGTTGGCGCTTACTTTATTTTTTTCGTTTGTTACTGTATAGAGACTAAGGATAGTATTATCACTTTGACCTATTCTATAGAGAGATTTGGGGGGGGGCAGTTATATATAGAGACCTATTTTTAAAGATGTCGTAGCGTTAGTTCCTATTCGCTTTCTGTCAGAAAACAGCACAGAGTTTAAAATCCGTTTTCGCTGTTTGATACCACGGAACGCTCCCAGGTTAATTTCGGTTCACTGAAGCTGTATTTCGGAGCCATCGGAAAAAAAGCCAGTGACCGGTGTAGGTACATTATTTCTCTAGGACAAAGTTTCGTTTCTCACTGCTGCATTTTGTAACTAAGTTTGTTGTTGTCACTGCAGGGCGCTCGTTTTCGTGTCAAGGAACCAAGTCCGTAATTATTTCTAGAAAAAGTATTGCAAACACGAAATCCGTATTTTAAACACAGAAAGTTTAAAAACGTAGTTTTTACTACTACTACTACTACATTGCTGTCTGAAGCACGATACTTGTACAACTATTGGTACTTTGAGATAACTTTAAAAAAAAATCTATCAAAAAAGACCAGAAAGTATCTTCGTGTGCGATCTTAAGGCTACTTATAATAAGGCACTTGGGGGGAGGGAGGAAAGTCAACCAAAAAACGGATGTTACTTAAACCTTGGCACTTCCTTTTCCCTTTCCATTCGGAGGGCTTAATTAAATTAAGCCTGCTGTCTCCCTAACGCGTCTCCCTCTACCTGCCTGCGCTTGAGCCGCGCTCC